CTGATTGCTCACTTTCTTCAACATTGGGAAATAAAAGGAAATTAAAATCAACAAAACTGCAATAGACGAACATTAATATGTGGAACTAATCACTATACAACGAATTTATCAAATTGCTTTATACAGGAAGAGATTTCAGTATACGCAAGGGGGTTGATATAGAGTAACAACCCCATAAAATCTTAAAAGTATTGTTGGTTTTCCATTTATACTTCATTTCTTCTGCATCTGCAGCGACACAAGTCCAAATTACTTTTTCCTGCAATGCCTACAACCGTTTCCCGCACAAGGGAAATCAACAAAAATAAAAAAATAAAAAATACTTTGAACTGTCAAGTTAAAAAGGAGGAGCAATTGCAGTTGCTAGGATTACTGTACTTGTTTCAAGCTCCACAGGCCATCAAGGCCGGAAGATTGTCATTGTCCTCAAGACTTGGCGCCGACAGAATGGGCACTTGGAAACAGCGGATGAGCATCTATGACATAATACATGACCACACGGAACAATTGTAATATCGACTTCATTGCTCAAACAGACTCTACACAACCAAGTTGCTTTCGCGATGTCAGCTTCTTTCACAGCCATGTCAGACTTCTCCTGCAAATTCAACATTCTATTAAATTTTTAGTAGAAAATAGTCGTATATTCTTTTTTTTTTTTTTCATTTTTCTCATATCCTTTAATTAAGTTAATTACTAAATTTTTAATAATCATTCAATGTTTTCTTGCATTTTGAAGCTTTTAATAGGGAATTTTTTGAAGGAAAGCTAATTGAAAAGCATCTTGACATATTGATGGTTGTAATAATGGCAAAACAATATCTTTCCAGATTAGAAATGGAACACATCGCTTTTTGGGAAATATTTTACTTGGAAAGCCCTGCTCCACAATGAGCAAAATCCTGTGAATGCTCTCCAGTTACATTGTTGGAAATTTTTTTGTTCATTTGTATTAAACGGGGGCAAAAAAGTATAGATGCATCCTACTTAATCTACAAAATAGGATCCCAAAATCCAGTTCTTTTTCCCATCCAAACTCAGCACCAATCTCTCTGTGAATGACACTATTGAATAACCATCTATGCAGAATTTAGAACAGAGGGCACAGTTAATGTTCACAACAAAGGCCTCAGAATCATGTATAGCTCTTAGAAGAGGAAAAAGATAGATTGATTGAGTTAATGGATGGGTTAATTACATGTTAGGTCTAATTGAATCCCAACCTGCTTAATAATTGGATGAAGGTTGGATCATAAGGGGTTAAATTAAACCCGTTGACCTGCAAACATAATCCAAAGTTCCCTACAACCACACTTTAGAAGTAAAGCTTTTTCAAACTTTAATGAAACAAATCTCGAGATTCGAAACTTTTTCCTTTTAATAGAACACTTTTGTCATGAAGTAGAATAAGTTGTCATGTGGGGGCCAGAACTATTAAGCCAAGTGGCTCCTTTTTTGTTCCGACTGTTTAGCATTGCTGATGAGTCGACATATAACATATATGTTGCCTTTGTTAAGTTCCTTTTTTACTATTATTAGTCATAATAACCCAATGTAAGGTGTAATATTGTAGCTATCCCATTGTCTAATATAATTAATGGGGTCGGGTCCAAGGCAACAGGAATAATAGATTACTTTTCAATCTTTCTCTTCCTCTCTTTCTTACTTTCTCTTCTTCCAAACCCTGATATTTCATTGCTATTGTTTTAACTACATATCAGAGCATTGATATGAGTCAAGATATCATCAAAAATAAAATATAGAGGATTCTGCAGTGAAGCTAATGGCATCGCTGAAGGGCTGACGTTGTGTTGACATCAACATGTTCTAACGACCAAAACCCACAACCAAACTCAACTCAAGGTGTTGATAACTGTAGTGATTTTTGTTAATTTTTTTGAATCCATTTGGATATATTTTGCTATTTTCGAATGTTTCCTAGAAATTTTTTGCTAATAGTTTTGATTCATTGATTTCAGACAATTTGATTTTTTTTATGCTTCAATCCTTATCCAAGGTGTGTGACTAGGCATATGTAGGAGTAATCTAAGATACCCAACCTTGTTTGGCTTCTTTGTGTGTGATTAGTGGATGAAATTGATAGTGGGCACTCACAAATGCCTCTGTTGGTTCTTTTTTTGGTTGTTCCCTTGCTTATGGGTTGTGATCCAAGAAATCCGGGCCCATAGTTATTAAAATCATACGATTCAGTTCGATACAGGTACAAAACGATTCGTCTCTTTTATGAAAATCGTTTTAGAGTTGAATCGCACCTGAATCGTACGATTCGTACAATTCGATTCGTATTGCACGAATCGCATGATTCAATCACTTTTTTTTTAAAACCCAAATTTTTGGAAAAAATGACGTCATTTTGTCCGCTAAACAGTAAAACGTTGTTCTGTTTGTAGAGGAACTCACGTTCTAATAAAAACTCAACCTCTTTGCTCGTTCTCTCTCTGACGTCGTCTAAAATCCATCTTATGATGTCTAAAGTTAAAGGTCACAACTAACGTTCTCGCATCATCAGTTTTTTTTGCTCTCAATTATTTCATATGTAATTTGTTAGGTTCTAATTTTTTGTTTCAAAATGTTGGCTCATATGTTCTCTCTCAATCAATTTTCTCTCCCAATTAATTTTTTTATTTGTCCCTTTTTTATTCATATTTGTAATCTAATCTATATTGGGTATTACTATTTTGGTTCTTCAATAGCCATGGTTCTTTAATGATTTTTTTTTTCAAGTTGTTGAGTTTAAAAATGGTTAGGCAAAAAAATGAAAATGAAGCAAAAAGCTAGCGTCTTTCTATTTAGACGATGTGATTATGTCAATTGATTATTTTTTGAATGCAATAATGCTCAATATTCAATATTTTGTCTATTTTAAATATGTAATATTATTTTTATTTTTGTTTAAATTTTGGGTCAAATCTTACGTTTCACGATTTTCAAATTTAGGATTCTGATTCACGATACGAATCGCAATTTGACAATTATGTCCGGGCCTGTTGGGGTGGTTTTTGTTTGACTCATGATTAAAATCATTAGTTGGAACTCACAGCGAGATTACTTGTCACTGTTCTAGTTTGTTTTCTTGTTTTTGGGTTTTGCTTAAAGCATCTAGGGTTCTTTTTTGCTTCTTTTTTGGTACTCTCCAAATTCGTGGTAAGTAGGGAAATTTTAATGGCATGAGATCAAAGTAGGAATTGTTGCCATTCAATTTCACGAAAGTGATATGTCACTTGATTATCCATTGAATGACATATACATCATCTGAGGTTGCCATTGGGAAACCCAGAATCTAGCATACAACAAACTGAGAACAAATGAGCTAATAGTATTAGAATAACCGGTCACCACTCACTGAGAGTTCTTTGGCGATGACTTGATTGCAACTTAGTATGGAATGTTCAAGTTGAAGATCAAAGTTAAATCTCTCAGTTTTATGCATCATTCCTAACAACATCTATTAGAGGAATACTCAACGCCTTCGTTCAATATCTAAGAGAAAAGAGGGCGTTAGCCCCCATATATAAAGACTTCTATGAGCACTTCACTAAGGAGAAATTCTGGCAGGTATGTAGCCTCAAATGTTCAACTCCTTGACACGTTAAAGAAGATATGAGATTCATTTGAGGAGTTATATTCACAAGAACATGATGTGGTGTGTATTTATTAGCTTAGTGTATGTTAAATATTAATTAGGATGATAAATCTCTAGTTGAACATATGGTGATTTGAAATATTGGGGGGAAAACTAATGCCTAATCGGCCATTATGCACATGTTTGAAATATGACAATGGCAGTGTAAAGAGTTTTGGGTTGGTTTCTTGTTGGTCATCCTTAACTCTGATTATAGTGTGTTCATCGAAGAATTATAGATGAATCTACAAAAAGAATTTAATGGTGTGAACTGAAAACTTAACATTGCTATCACAAGAATTACAAAACTTTATAGAAACCCTAATATTCTAAGACAAATTTTGGCTAGTGAAACACTACCAACTATTGCCAATGTTTACTCTTGTCTTTGAGTCTTCATTATGTTTGCCTTAATTCCTTAACTTCTTCACCCATACAAGAGTATATTGATCTCTAGTGACAAATCATGGTGGTCATGGTGGTGGACGTCGTCAAACCCAAGGTATCAGTCGAGGTGCTAGAGGCATTGGCCGATGAGGACGAGGTGGGAGTACTGGTCATGGTAATTGTCCTAAGTGGAAGTGTTCTTATTGTGCCGATATAGGACATTTTGGGGATTATTTTTGAGATAAGCATGGGAGACCAATGCATGTTAATCATGCTTTTGATGGTTCAGCCTCTCCATTATACCAAACATTCTACCCATGGTCCTATTGGCTGTTGCATCTACCTCTACTTGTCATGAAAACCTTAATTCCCAATTTAGTCACTTATCCAATAGTTGTTTTTCCTTCCTCGCTAGTTGTCTACTTTCACTGTTATTCTGGCTACTGTAGGTAATTCTGCTTATGTGATTGCCCAATTTGATTTGTTATCTTGCATTATTAATTCAATAGCTAGTGCTCACATGTCTAATATTTTCTCACTATTTTTTAGTTCGTTTATTCTTCTTTCCTTCTTTCTAACAATTGATTGAACATGGTATTAGTGCAAATGATCTTAGGGCTTGCTATTTGAATCTGAATTAACAAGTTGTAAGTGAAGAACAACCCTATTGGTGGTTGTGGGGGCCAGAATTAAATGAGTTAATCACCGAAATACGGCACTTTTAAACTTATTTACCAAACAACCCCGCTTTTGTTAAAAAACGGGATCAACAACCCCGCTTTTAAATAAAAATTATTTTTAACATCACTTAAAAGCGTGGTTAGTAACCACGCGTTTTAGGCAATTGAAAATTTCCCTACTAAACGACTGTCTTTGCAACAAAAAGTCGAATTCTCTCTCACACACACATCGAAGGTGGGTGCATTTTAGTTTAGGAGGCCTTTACGGTGCAGCCAGTCTCAGTCCAGAAATGTTAGCCATTGCCAATCCATTATCGCCAGACTTTTCCAACTGCCATTCGTCGGAATTGCCTTCCCATCCATTAAAACCGACGGTAAAGAGGATTGGTTTAATAGGAAACTAGGAAAGGGTTTGTGATATTATTAGAGTTAGTTTTTTGGCTTGTGGGGGATTTTTGGCTGGTGGCGTGCAGGGTCTTCAACATACTCTACCACCATCTGTTTCTGCTGATAGAGCTTTAGTACCCCAGCAGATTATTAATGATGCTCCTGTACATGGTGACCTTTCAAATCATGAAGGAGATACTAGCTTTAAGGTGGATTCTCTAGTGGAAGATAGTTTTCCATCAGGGGAAACTATAAAGTTGGATTTTCCTCCACCCCCACTCAAGCCGGTGGACGATAAAACTGTCCAGAAGATTGAAGTTCTATGCCAGTATATTGCAAAAGCGTGTTTAGTAAACACACTTTTAAGAAAAAACGTAGAAGGCGTGTTTACTAAACACGCTTTTTCCACTGCCCACTTTTTTTTTTTTAATTTAAAAGACGGGGTTGTTGACTCCGCTATTGAATCCGCTTTTTAAAAGTGCCGCAGTTTGATAAATAAGTTCAAAAATGCCGTATTTTGGTATATTTGTTTTAAAAGAACTGCACTCCGGTAAATAACTAGGAATTAAATTGTTGTTGTCGAAGTATTGGATTTTTCATTCTCACACCAAGAAGCTCTTGAAATGAACCGCGTATCATCAATGACGGTTGTTGTTGAGTTTGTCATTGTCGGCAGAATCTACGATTGTCTTGATTTGTTGTTGCTGAAGTTGGACGCGGAAGCCGCCCTTGTTGGTTGTGACTGTTGTCGTGATGCCGACAACAAATCATCATTGGTTGTTTCTGTCATCACCGTTGCTGGCTGAAGTGGTCTGTGTTAGTGGCTCATCTCTGCTCTTCAACGAAGAGGAACACATCCTGCTTGGTTAGGGTATAACTGGGCCTTTTGTTGTTCAGTCAAATTGGGTCATTAATTAACCCATTGGATATTGGGCAGCCCAAGTGCGTGTTAGTCTGGATATGGTCCATCTAATTTACCAATTAGAGAGCGTGGGTTCAGATTGGCACAGATCTGGTCTGGTTCCCGCTTAATTTGGACCGGTTCAATCAGGTTCCCCTTTAATTCATCCCAGTTCAGTTCTTCACAACCCAATTTAACATCAGTTCAGAATACCGCCAGTTCAATCCAGTCGGTTAGGGACAGGTCCAGTGTTCTATAGCTTCAATCCACCTCGGTTCAGCCTTCTGCATTCTGTTTCGGTTCTGGATCAGTGTGCTAAGCCAATTTTTTGGCCCAGTTCAAGCTTATTTTCATCGTTCAGTGGTCTGCAGCCTAATTCTGGCCTGTTGAGGCCCAATAAGCTTCCACAGCCTATTTCTAGAGCGGTTCAGTGTATTACAAGTTTATTTCTGATATATTTCAGTATTCTTCAGCTCGTTCAGCCTTGGTTTTATATTTTCAGCACTTTTCTGACTGATTCTGCATTATAATTGCTTCGAGGATACTAAATCAAGTATTCCCCCTTCGGCCTCTTTCCTCCGTGCTCCTCAGTTGCCTGTATCAGCATCCAATTCTACACTGGCCAACTCAGTGGATCACCATTTCATGCGAGGAATATGCCCAGCTCATTTCTCAAAAGCATATGATTCCCTGTTCCTCTACTGCTAATTTTGCATGGTCAGGTATCGCTTCTGAATGCTTCATGTCTTCCTCGCGCAATCCTTCAATCATAGATTATGGGATGTCCAATCATATGACTAGTTCGTCTAGTATCCTCTCTGCCTATCAACCTATAACTCACTTTCAAGGCATTACTCTTGCTAATGGTTCTTCATCTCAAGTCTCAGGTTTGGGTCACACTCAGTTGGGTCCCACTATATCTTTATCTTTGGTTTTATTTGTCCCAAAATTTTTCTTTAGTTTGATGTGTATTAACAAGATTAATCGGTGTCGCAATTATCCTGTCACCTTTTATCCTTTTCATGTGTTTCAAAAATGTTGAAACAGGATTCATTTAGCTAAAAACAAAAATGTTGAAATAAGCCTTTGTTGAGTTGAGTTAGGTTATATGATCTACTTTCCAAATGTTATAATTGTCTTCAATATCAATATAATATAACTAGGAGATAAGGTGTTGGCAACACATATTTCGCACACAATATTATTTCATACTCTCTCTCTTCCTCTTTTTTTCCCTTTCTTTTCCTTAACTTTAACATACAATTATTCAAGTATCAGTGCAAGTCACTTGGGTGTGTGGGCCCTGGCCCTAGGTGAGCGTCTCACTCGCCTAGCATTTGGGCCTGACCTTGTGCACATCAAGTTGCAGTCGTCTCTGTGTTCGTTAATTGTTGTTATTAGAATCACTCTGAGTTGTAGTTTTCCTATTGTCAGTGTCTTCATCAGTAGTTCATCGGCTTATCATTATCAGTTGTTTTGGGTGCCCAAATCTATGTTCATGTGTCTTTGGTTTAGCATCGATTCAGTAGTTTTCAGCTGGTGTGGGTTTAGTGGTTTTCATCCCAAATTAGTTGCTTTCAGTTCGGTTCAATGATAGTTTAGTGGTTTTCGGCCCAGTGTGATACTGGTTAAGTGATTTTTATCCTGGATCGGATTCTGATTCAGGGCTTTCAACCTAGTTTAGTATCAGTTCAGTATTCTTCGACCCAGTTTACGTTGGATCAATTCTGTGCAGTGTTTTCAACCTAACTTAGTGTTGGTTTAGTGGTTTTTGGACCATTTTAGTGCTGGTTTAGTAGTTCGCATTCCGGTTCAGTGTTTTCAGCCCGGTTAGTGTGGGTTCAGTGGTTTTTGTCACAATTTGGTGCTAGTTTACTGGTTTTCATCCTGATTCAATTTTAGTTCATTGTTTTCGGTCTAGTTTAGTGGTTTTCGAGACTGATTCAATCGTTTTCAACCTGGAGCGGTGTCAATTGTAGAGTTTTTAGCCCGGTTCAATAATTGTTTTGTGATTTTCAGCACCGGCTCAATCTCTTTATGGCTGATTCAACTCTACTCCTGCTGGTTTTTTATCTCTATGCTCCAACTCGAAGGGGAGCGTTAAAGTATTAATTTCCTATTATTCTACTTGCCTATTATGTGGTTTGCGTATCATGTTGTACTTTCCTAATGTTTTAATTGTCTTCAATGTCAATCTGATATAAATAGGGTGTTGGCAACACATATTCTACACACAACTTGTAATTGAGTCAGATAGGTTTTGCTTGAGCATAAAGGCAGCGTTAGAGTGCATAAGATGTTTTCATCCCCCCCCCCCCTTTTGTTCTTCAGGTCAATTATGTTGCTTCAGCGTATCGAGGTCAATCTAGTTTTTTCTGTCCCAGATTAGTTTAGTTAAATGTGCTTATTCCACTAAAGATTTAGCTGTAGGACGTAACCTTAGTATATTAAAGGATAGTAATAAGTATATTAAAGGATAACAAAAAGCAGACCTGTTCAAGCAAGAGTGCAGCCTGAGACTCCTCCAGCTGTTCTTTCAAGGTTAACGTTGTTTGCAAGAGGGACTGCTTCTCCACATCCATATTGATCCCAGCTGCAGAAAGCATCTCATGAACTGCCTGCACCAATTCTGCAGCTGAAACTCGACCATGCTCTAGCTCTTTTACGGGATCCTGCTGCCCATAATGAAAACCTTGCTCAGTTTTTTATACATGATGAAACTCCAGAGCACGAGTATTAAAGCCAATCCAATCAGTAGTGAACATTGGTAGGCAGGTGATTCACAAGATACACGGTGTAGTTTGCAATATCAAACTATTGTAATCAGTCATGACAACACGACTCCAAACATCAAGTAACCAATTCACAATTACTTGAAGCAATTCAATAAAATAGAAAGTGCTAAGTATCATAGAAATTTAGGGAAACAAAATGCCTGATTTTGGGCATTTGTACCGTTGGTATCCTCACAGTCTGCCACAACAGTGTTGGAATGCCATTAATCTTTTATTATTTTGGCCATTACATTAGTATCAGGGTCTCTTTTATTGTACCTCAAGGCCTACCACTAGGGTGCCACCAGCTATTGTTACCAGTGATGTTGCTATCATATTGTTATCACTAGTATCCTTTAGTTGTTGTTGTTCCCATTAACATTGTGTAAAATACAATAAGGCGGCCACAAGTCTGAAGCACAATAAGCCAACCATCTGAAATAAATCTGTACAGGTTGCAGTGTGCATTAAGTAATCACAAATTTCCACAATTCAAAGGAAAAGAAACCAAATCGTCTTGTCCCTTCAACACATGCCAAAGCAGGGCTTCTTGGATAGGTGGATTTGAGGTCAACAAATCCTACGATTAACTCGAAAGAAACATGAAACAACTGTCTACTCAATAATACTAAGAGGCAATTCTACTTATGTTAGAATACTGAACTGGTAAAGAAAATAACCAAACAAGCCTGAACCGACGCGAAAACAGCCTGAACCGAGCCTGGGTAGACTGAACTGGTCACAACTTACCTGGGTTTGAACCAGACTGACCCAACAAGATTGGGCTCGAACCGTACTGAGCTGAAGTACCTTAGGGCCTGAACTGAATGTTTTGGGCTGCAACCGAAGCAATTGGGTCTGAAACTTTGGGCCTGGAACCACTGGATTAACCCAATTAACGAGAGCCTCGATCGGATGTATGGTTCAAAGTATAGGCCGATACCAATACAAGTCAGCCGAGTTGAATCCGATTCGGCAACTTCCGAGACGATACCGTTACACGATACGTATAAACCCCAAGTTTCGTATGACTCAGCGGAGTCGTCCGAATTGTATCCGAGTCAATCCCTAGTTGCCGAGTTATCGTCACCGAATCGGCTGATATGGTTCCGCGATGCTGCGATATAACTAAATCTTTTGTATTTGTTGAGAGTGTTACTATGTTATTAGAATTTAATATGGCTGTAAGAGGTATACCAGTTAGAGGGTATCCTCGTCCTTTATATGTTTATAAGATAACAATAAATACAAGTTGTTAGTGAGAGGTAGGTTAAGTTCAACCACACTCTGCCTCTCTCATATTGTGTTAAGTCTGTCTCTATTCTCTAAACTTAACATGGTATTAGAGCGACATTGATCCGAATATTAAACTTGAATGTTTTTATTTTAGATTGAAAATTTGAACCAAGTAATATTGTTCTTTCTTTTCTCTTATTTCGTTCTCGATTTTGATTATGTTCCGTGCCGTGTAATCCATGCCCATGGTCTAAGAGTGTGGGTGGTGATTGTGTTGATGCTTCCTTGTGGATTGTGTCTATGTATGTTGTTGTGTTGATGTTGAGATGTGGATGATTGGGTTGGCTAATCGTTTGTCACAGTAAAACTGGCGTTGTTGGCTTATGGTAGTCGCTGGTGGTAAGGAGGTTGCCGTTATTGTTGCTGGAGGTTAGGCGTGATGGCTGCGAAGTCTTTGCCGTCGTCACTTGTTGACCTAGGGTTTTTGTTGAACCTTGCGTGAAGAAGACGAGGACAGGGGGCTGCCGTTGTTGCTACCGGAGGACTGGAGTGGCGGCTATTGAGTGTCGCCACCATTGTTTCCTGTTGATTTAGGGTTCCTATTGAATCCCACGTGGGGAATACAAAGCCTAGGCTTTGGGTGTGGTTCATGTTGACCCATTGGGATGCACATATTATTTCCTTACTGTTGAAGAGCATTGATGCTCATATCAACTCTACGTTGCTTTATCTTGACATTGTCAAGAAGATTTGGGATCATTTAGCAACTATGTATTCTAGCACAAGTAATTTTACTCGTGCATACGAGGTTTGCAAATAATATTTTTGCTTTGAGAAGGGTACTTTAAGTTTAGAAGGCTATTACTCCCAAGTTCGAGGTGTTTGTGAGGAATTGAAGGTTTACCACCCGTTCACCACTGATGGTGCATGCAATACTACAGCGACGGTATGAGGATTTAGATGTTTGCTTTTTTGTTGGTTTGAAACCCGAGTATGAGCCTATTCACTATCAGATTTTAAGTGGCTCTAGTCTTCTGTCTCTTCTTGAGGTCTTTTCCTGTTTACAGCGTACTACCTTATCTATTGGCTTTTCTACTAGCTTTTCTACTTCAGGTATTGATCATGGTTTGTCCCTTGACCACTCGACTCTTGTTGTCCCTAATGGCAACAGTGATAGTCCTCGGGGCAATCGTGGCAATCATGGCAACTAATGATTATTCCTGAAATTTACATGGCAAACCTTCTGTTGCTGCTAATCATGTCTCCTATTAGGATGACACTGCTTCTCTACCTGCTCCTATATCTCGATCGGCTCCTCCAGACTTAGATTTAGTTACTATTACACGAGAGGAGTATGCTCAATTCATGTCTTGGCAGCAGGTTGTTCCATTTTCCTCCATTTCTACCTTTGCCTAGTTAGGTACCACTTCGACTTATTTATTGTCCTTTATCCGCAGTCCCTAGACCATATACTCTAGCGCTTCTGACCATATGAGTGGCTCGTCTGGTTTCTTCTCTACTTATCATTTTGTTGCTTCCCCACACAGTTTCACTCTTGCTTAATGGTACTTCCTCTAAGGTTTTCAATTTGGGGACTACTCAATTGAGTCCTGATGTCTTTATCATATGTTTTATTTATCCTTTAGTTTTTATTTAGTTTACTTTCTATTAGCAAGATTACTCATTCCCTTAATTGTTCCGTTACCTTTTATCCCTCTTATTGTGTGTTTCAGGCTCTCCAGACAAAGAGAAAGATTGGTATGGGACATGAAGCTGATGATCTTTATTATTTTGACCTTGATCCACTTCCTCGGGCACTTCAGACCTCGTCATCTCCCTTCAGTGACATTGTCGTCTTGGTCATCCATCTCTTTAGAATCTAAAGCGTCAAATTCTTAACCTTAATTATGTGTCGTTTGTGTCTTGTGAAGCTTGTCAACTTAGTAAACATTACTGTGCGTCATTTCAGTCTAGAGTCAATAACCATGTTTTTAGTCCTTTTGATTTAGTACATTCTGATGTATGGGGTCCAATAAAGAATATTTCATTAAATAAAAATTCTTTTTTTTGTGTCATTTGTAGATGATTATTTGTGTGTGACTTGGTTATTTCTTATGAAATCTCGTTCTGAATTATTTTCTATATTTTTTAGACCTTTCGTAAAGAAATCAAAATCTAGTATAGTTGTCGTATTCATATTTTATGTTCTGATAATGCTCGCAAATATGAATATGATCCTTTTTTGTCATATCTTTGTAAAAATGACATTATTCATCAAATTTCTTGTGCCTACACATCTCAACAGAATGGTGTCATTGAGAGCATAAGAATCGTCATCCGTTGGAAGTTACCTGCGCACTGTTATTTCATATGAGTGTTCCTCGATATTTTTGGAGTGATACTGTTCTTATTGTTTATCACCTTATTAACCGTATCTCATCTTCTGTATTAAATGGGTAAAGTCTATATTCTGTTCTTTTTCCTAATACTCCCTTTTTTTACTTAACTCCTAAGATTTTTGAATGTGTCTGTTATGTTCACAGCTCAAGTCCCGAATTTGATAAACTTGACCCTTGTGCTACGAAATGTGTCTTTCCTTAGTTACTCTCACACACATAAGGGGTATTATTGTTATAGTCTTACATTTCACCGGTACTTCACTAGTGCTGATGTTACCTTTACTGAATCATATCCGTATTTTTTAGTTCCTGCTCTGCCTCTGGATCTTAACTTTGGGGTGTCAACTCCACCCCCACCCATATTCTTATCATCGATTATTTCGTGGCCTACTACCCACTTCCACCTCCAACCCGCTCCGTGTATAATCCCGTTGTTTGTGATCATCGCCTAAGGAGTCCCTACCATCTTCCGTACTTGTAACTCATTACTTATTGCTCTTCGGAAATATACTTGATCTAGTGTTAGTAACCATTTCATTACTCATTTTGTGTCTTATGATGCATTTTCTCCAGTCTTCTCTTACTTTACCTCCCTTGTCTACTATTTCTATTCCTAAGACCTTGCAAGATCCGTTATTTAATTCGGATTGGAGAAAAGCTATGGAAGTGAAGATTAGAATGGGACCTAAGATCTTGTACCAATACCGCCTGGTAAAAGGACTGTTGGCTGTCGATGAGTGTACACCGTTAAATTTAATCCAAATGGTTCTGTTGAGTGCCTCAAAACCTGTCTTATTGCTAAGGATTTTACTCAAACCTATGGTATTGATTATGAGTAGAATTTTTCTCTGTTCGTGTATTGCTTTTTTTGGTTGCTAATCTTGATTGACCCTTGTTTCACTTAGATGTCAAGAATGTCTTCTTACACGGTGACTTGACCGAGGAAGTTTACATAGAGTACCCGCCTGAGTCTACTATTCAGGGGAAATACTGTAAGAGTGTGTTGGTTAAATAAATCTTTGCATGGTTTGAAACAGTCATCGAGGGCATGGTTTGACAAGTTTTCGGATACAATTTTAGATTTTGAACTTCGTCGATGTCAGATAGACCATTTAGTCTTCCGCTGACAGACTGATACCGGGTATTTTCAATTGGTTGTTTATTTGGATAATATTATAATTACTGATAATGATTATAAGGGTATTGCCAAGTTAAAAACCTTCCCAAATGATCGATTTCACACTAAGGACCTAGGAAAACAGG